TATATATTATTATTAAGTGTAAATTTTAACCGAAATTTATTAGTTAATCGGAGTTGTGCAAGTGTTCGTGTAACTTGTATGGGCAGTTTTAGAAGTAAATATTTTTGGGGAATTTTATCAGTGGAAAAAGCTGTATATAAGAACAAAAACTGACAGCCTGTAATTCCTATAATATCAAAATTGTAAAGTTTATTGTAATAAGCAGTTAGTAACTTGTTTTTGTTTAGTTTTAGGTTATTAGCATCAAGATTATTTCATATGTCTTCATGGTCAATTAATTTAAATAAGTGTCTAACTTGAGAAGCCCAATTATATTTTACTTCTCCAGAGTTAATCAGATGAAGCTGTCTATTAAAACAAAGCTTTGGATATCGATTATCATTCATACTTAAGATTTTATGCAGCCAGTTTAAATTCATTTTGAATATATTATAGGAATATTTAACTCTGCCAGTTTCCAATCTTATCGCGCAGTCAGGTGTATTGATAGGCACCAATAGCATCCTCTTCAGAAAAGTTATTTGAACCCTTTCTAACACCTCCAAATACCTTAGACTCCACACAGGGGCACAATTAGACATTATGCTAAGAGCTAAGGATTCAAACAACTTTATCCGAGGATACCATGTGTCCATTTTAGCTTTGGCCATAACCGGCAAAATTGCTCCTATGGCTTGCTTACCCTTATCTGAAGCTGATAACGACATTTCGTGAAACAAGCCAGAAGATGTAAATGTGACTCCTAAATATGTATATTTATTTGTAAAATTTAGATGTTGACCGTTAAATTTGAAAGGGTAGTTATTTTTTTGAAAACCTCCTCTAGAAAATGACATGATTTTAGTTTTTTGGATGTTGACGGTAAGGTCATAAAAACATGGCAAAAAGTAAAGGACTTAGAGATTCTCCTTGCAGTACACCGTCAGTTACATAAAAAGACTTAAACCGTTAGAGGATTTAACCCTGACTGAGGCTTTTGAGTATAAATTTATTATAACATTAAGAATTTTCGCCGATATACCTAACCCATATAATTTATTCCACAATAAACGATGATTTACCGAATCAAATGCTCTTTTGAAATCGACGAAAATTGCAAAGAGTTTCCTTTTTCTATGCCTAATATGCAAGTGTATTATCGAACTTAGTGTATGTACATTGTCGATACAACCTCGACCTGATCTAAAGCCAGCTTGACACTCGGGTAAGATGTTGCAGATATCAGTCCACAGAGAAAGCCTATCTAAAAAAATATGCATAAATATTTTTGCACAACAGTTAACGAGTGCTATACCTCTAATTTGTTGGATCATCTGCAGGCCCGCTCTTATGCAACATAAATAGCATAATATTAGACCAGGAAGTAGGGGTGGTACCATTTTCAAATATGCGATTGTAAAGTGTGGTTAGATATAAAATCCACTGCAAACAAATCGGCAAATGGCAAAGAGAACAGCATGTATTCGTCTTACGGTCTTTTTTGGAGGGACAAATTGCACATCTTTTACGTTTTGATATTTCTTGATATGCCAAGAATTTCTGCAACAGGATTTCTAAGTTTACGAAAATCTCTGTATCTGTACGCGAATCAATGTAGCACTAATTCATAAGAGAATACCCCGGACCACAGCGCCCCCACTATTTTTCTCTTCTGTTAGTGTCGCTTTATTAGTAGGGCTGGGTCACAGAGACCCCGTCGATAGCAGTTACGGGTTAAGATTTATAAAATAATATTGTAATAAAAACAACTGTGATACAATAATTGTATCACTTATTTTTTATATTTCTTCACTTATTTAAATCTGTTATTTTCAGACCATACACTCACATACAAATAGTATGCGAAGTAGTTGAACAAACATAAAATAAAAAATAATATTGTGTAGATACTACCAAATATAGTTGAATCGCTTATTGTTAAAAGGAACTAAGTCACATTTTTACGTTTTTTCAGTTTCGTTTCATGTTTTAGAGTCAAAAACGTAAAAATGTGACTTAGTTCCTTTTTACAATAAGCGATTCAGTTGCTTTAATTTTTTTATAAATATTGTCACGCCCCCCTTTTCTAAGGGTCGAAAGAATTATTGAATGTTATTAATTGGGGCTACCTTTCTTTATGAAATAAAAGTCGAGTTAAAACATAACAATTTTATTAATCAATCAATAAATAATCAGTATTCATGATAATAATAATATACAATATAAAAGGGCCTTACCAAAACATTCCTCTTGAGTGGCACGTCACGACGCTTACTCCAACACTAAAAGGTATCTATTACTTTAGATACCTCCCAGTACAGCAAAAGGAGAACTGTCCTCGTAACCCTAATCAGTGTCGAATTTATACCTATTAACTATTTGCTGAATTTGCTATTTCTTTAATTCGACACAATTAATGCAGGTCGTTAATAGTTCAACGTCTATGTTTTTGTTATGAAATGTATACAATATTATTTACTTAAGGATATATTTACATTTAAGAGATTATTGAGATTTTCTATTAGAGATAATTATTTTTATTCTAGGATTTATTTAAAAGTATAATAATTTATTTTAATGTATTTTAATAATGGTTTTTTTTTAATATTTTACTGGACGTGACATGCCCCCAACGGTTAAAGCCAGACCCGGGCTTTTCCTTAAACCTAACATTGAAAGAGAAATTTTAATACAATATCTAAATTCAGAGAGACAAAAAAATATACAAACATTAATGACAATAAAAAAAATTTAAATTGAGAGAAGAAAAACAATTAAAGAAACATGAATGGGTACAATTTTATACCTCTAGAGGAAACAACTTTCGCACACACGAAATAGTCCCGTATCACTGACAGTCAAACACTCCGAACACAAATACAGTCTTTTTTTTTCTCATCCATCCCCTAGTTCAGCCTTTTCTTCTGCTTGCGGTTTAATCTTAGCAACCTGGAGGATTGCAGCAGCGGCTTGGTTGAAGGCTGCTGTGTGTGGTTCAGTAGTTCAATGAATTTTTCGAGGGCCTTGTTTTTATTGACGCTTTTCTCAGTTGTGTTTGTATACTTATAAGTAGATTTTACAGGATCGTTGCGAAGATTCATCAAGGACATCAACTGCACCGACCAACTAGTTGAAGTTTCGGAAATAGGAACTCGCCTTGTCTGATAGGGTTTACAGCTAATGGCCAGTATTTACTGTGTTACTGACTCGTACTTGTCCTGTATTTCTTCTTAAAATAGTTTGTCATCTTCAGAACATATGGGTTTCATGCATAAGAAGGTTTTGACTGATACCCAGTCCTTCTTTCGTTTTAGTGTTTCTGTATTTAAAAAATACTCCATTATAATGGCCTCGAAAGTTGTCCATTGGGAAAGTATTGGAATGACCACTGGCAATGTCATTAATGAGATCCGGTTGGTTCCTGTCTCTTAGGGCTAGTTTCAAGGATGATCGTGACTGAGGCTGGATTGGGTCCTTGAACTGGAGGAGTGCTTGTCTCGCGGGTGTGTTTTCATATGCAAAAAAAAACAAAATTAAAGGTATATGAAATTTTATCCTAAATTATTTGACTTAAAATTAATTTGGACAAGGGCAAACCCTTGCCTTTAAAACGAGAGGAAACCAATTTAAACTGAAAATTCAGCCTTCAGTTCCACAAGAAGCGCATTTATAAAAAAAATTTCAAACGGTCTTCAATCTTCTCGCAGGAGTTCGTTTGAATTATGGATCCAAATTTGAATTGTTTGAGTCCTTTGTATCGGTTTTCGGTTTGATGTTATGATCATTTATTTAAATGTTACAGATGACCACAAAACACTCACCAAGGTGACAGGACAGCTCCTTCATTGTTTTTTACATTTTTCTCAAAATGTTAACTTTATTTTTTCAAAATTTTAACTTAACTGGATCTAAAAGTGTACTGATTGATGGTGACGCTACAGGTCAGAAATCGAGGAACTCGGCTATCCATCAGTGACGAAGCATCCATTATTGCGTCGCATCCCTTCAAAATATTGTCAGCTAATATGTTCTTGTTTTTTTAATTTGGTGTCATCGGCATTTGAAATAGAATCAATAGGATCTCTTATAATAAATTCAATTTCAATTATTTATATATGTATTTGTCGATCTTTACAGAATACGCTACTATAGCAGGGGCATAAGTTGGAAAGACTTTTGGTATGTAGAGAGGGGGTAAACGTCAAACCACGTCGGACGGCTTCGAGAATTTCGCAGTAATGTTTACCTGCCAGGGTCGTTTCATAGAATAAGTAATTTTAAATTGTTACCGGCGGAACCGGACAATCGCATGTATTTATGGACTATAAATAATTATTAAACATGTATTATAATATCCAAGTCATAATTCTACAAAATTTCAACAGCTATTGACAATTTATTAAACTATTTACTCGAAATTGTTATTAACGGCAAAAGCTTTTCCAACTTCTGCCCCTGCTATACGCTACAAATAGAAATATTTCAACAGGCTATGATGCGAGATGCGATGTCTCTTATTACATCTTAAATGCCTGGTGGGGCGAGCCGAGGTCAGCGACCTTTCTGGTCGTGATTTCGCGTTTCAGGTTTCCAGTCCGCTGTTTTCGCTGGTGAGTGATGCGGTCTCTTGAACGCATTTCGTTCGTCGTATATTAATACGCGAATGCGAGTGTCGTACTTTAATTTTTTTTAATATTTTCATTATTTTTTAACCTGCTCCTTTTTTTTGTATACTTTATTTGTAAGTTTAAAATTAAAGACTTTAATAAAAAAAACTTGATTGTTTTTATAAAATGTGAATCGCAGTTACTCATTACATCCTCTTGTATCGACGCCACACTACGCCACTGGCTACCCTCTAGTTCCCTAGTGTATAGTCATTCTGATTTATTAGTACCTTTTTACCTCTTATCAACTTTATAAACTGACGAAAGCGACCGCCATTTTTAATCCATTCCACAAGCCCTAAAATTTGTATGTGTTGATTTTGTACAAGAAGTGTAATTCTTATTTTTCTTTAGATATCATTTAAAAACCTTCGACAAAGTCGCTACAGTGCATTACGTCAGATCGAGTCAGATGTTCCACACGAATCTTATCAAAGCTCCCGCTCAATTTTTCGTAAGCAAAACTGATCCCATTGGTGCTGTGCCGTCTAACCAGAGGGTTCGAGAAAATTGGGAAAATATGGGAATTCAGGTAAAAACATCTCGTCTATTATTCATCATGAAGTTGATACTATAATACATCAACCAATGACAATCTTTTATTCCAACACACGCTAATCGAAACAAATTGTATCTGGAAACATTGCATGCTGCAGTGTTTTCACTTAATCTTGATTGGATTTAAAAAAATGTAATACTTTACCATGATTTATACGAAACGTCTATGTGAATTTTGTCATTTTGTTGTTTCCTTACAAGTTATGCAAATTTCTAAAGAAACAAAATGTTCTTAAAAATATGTAACTTCTTGTGGTATTACCCTTGATAATCTTTTAATGTTTCTATTTTTTCAGGTGAATTGGAAATGTTGGGACAAATCTCCTCACGTCGGCCATTTCCGTGCACATCCCAAAGAATACCTTGGAGAATTGGAAAACTTCTTGGCATCCCTGAAGATTCCACAAGTCTCCAAAGAACAGCAACATGAAAAAATTAAAGCTAAACTCTAATATAATTAGTCCATATTCTTTGGTAGCGAGTTATTTTTTTCGAAGATCTTTCAAGGTTATTTTAGCCCCAAATATATGGTCATTAAATGACACGCAGTGTAACTGTACAACACTTATGATTTACACTAAGTCCAAAGTGTTTGACACTTCTAAAAACTTAATTTATTTAGTTTTCGAAATGAAAATGTTTGGAATACATTAAAAACGCATAAACAAAAATTTCTATTCTTTCTTAAAGCAGAGACTTTACTACTATGGTATATTTTTTAAATAAATTTACAGTCTCTGAATTTATTTGACTTACAGCCGGCTTGTAACGTCCATTTTTGTGCAAACTAAATTTAATTATAAATATCTGCTTGCAATCCATAAGAAAAGAGTGAAAATTTTTATATGGAATGTAAAATAATTTTAAATTTCGAACATGGTCAATATTTAAACTATCCTCGCGGAAATAATAGAAACGAAAATGCATTTTTAGTGTGGAGACTACTTACGGAATTAAATTTTTGTCTCTATTTTTGAAAATTATAAAAAATGCTCGAACATGTAAAGTAAAACTGTAACATACAAGGTGATTCAATATTCAAGTATTTGTAGTAATAGGTGAGTTTTCTTAAATGGACCACCCTCTATATGTTTATATTCCACTAGACTAAATTCAAATAACTATAATAATTATATCTCAAATAGTAAAGGTATTTACAAGAGATTCAGTGAAAACCAAAGAAGTAGAGGGTAGAATGATAAGGTACCGCCTGGGCATCCATCACGAGTGTAGAAATTATGCATGATTCAACCTTCCACTCTTACACACGTAAATGACAAAGATATGTTGCCCTAAAGCGCTGTAAACAAATTCCAGGTTTGGCTTTGTTCATCGATTATGTTCATGTTCAGCTCCGTTTTTGTTTGTGTTGTGGCTGTTGTAGGCTTTTTTTGGCGTCACTTCTTGTTATCTTGCTTATATTTGTGATTTTTGGTGCTTTGATTTCGATTTAGTATTAAATTATACTCGTTAATTATTTTCCGATGCATTATTTTATAATCGTTGCACAAAATGTTGTTAAACCGTCCCTGAATCTAGTTTACAAATTGTGCATAGTGTCTATACTTTTTCATTGACAATTATCATTCTACCCCTCTCCACTTCATTGGTGAAAACCCAAAAGTGGGTAACGAATAGTTTTAAATCGAAGAATATTTTTTACACTGGCTCTTGTTGTTTGTTTTAGTATATTAAATGTTAGAAATGTTCTCCATTCACTTTTTGACAAAAAAAAGTAGTCAGTAGTAAAAACGCCCTAACTTTCTCTAAAACTTGCTCCATGGTTTTTGCAAATTAAATAAGTAATTATTATTATCATTTTAGCAATAAATATTTTACGCATTTGAATTCAAATAATGTAAAATATAAAAATATACAGGGTGGTCCATTTATCAAAATTCACCTATCTTTTACCACCAATACATTAATCACCTCGTATATTTCAATTTTACTTCAATAGACGTACCATTTAGATTAAAAATTGATGTCTCAGCATTTTTCATACGTTTTCTAAAATATAGAAAAACATAATGTTCTTCCATAAGTGGTTTCTACACTGTATAATGAGTTTTATATAAAATTGATTTAACATACAAAACTCATTTTTATGTTAAGTTTGCACAAATGACCAACCATTGAAAATAATATCAGATTATTTGTTTATTTTAAACTGCATGAGATTCTTAGTTGTTTCATTAGTTTTTACATTCTAGCTTTAGAATGAGACTGACAGAAGATTTGACAATGTCAAAATTTTTGTTTATAAATAAATATCCCTTATTTTTTTGTATAAGGAATAATTAATGATCATTTTAAAAATATCTAGTTTGTTCAATTGTTTTCCCGATTGTTACAATTTAGTTCCATTACCAATCGCATTTGATCAATAGTTAATCCAATTTGATAATGAAAAATTACAATAAGAAAATTGAACACTAACAGAACTAAATCTAATATTTATTGACGATAATAATATTAATAATACAGTCCATTCATTTAGTTTCCACCGATATTCTTGTTTGTCTGAGAGAGGCAGCGACAAGCTTCTGCCTGTCTTTGATGATATATAGATTCCATCACTTTCTAACATTTTAAAAACATGACAAATACCATAATAATGATTCCCTGATTGATATTAAGAATATGAAAGCAAGCTTCTTTTTTTTTGTCTTTTTTGTGGACACATACATTTAGAATTATTTTTATTATCAATAATTTAGCAAGTTTTCCTGCTTTGTTTTTAATCAGATTTACGACTTTCAGTTAATATGTGTCTAATTCGTACTAAATTTTCCATTATACGCTTAGTAATACTCAAGTTATTAGATGTACACTTTTATAACCTTGATTTTTTGACATTTAAGAAAAAGTCTAATTTACTATTGTACTCGTGAAATTAAGCTAGCCCCACCAAGGATGCCATTCAGATCCGGTGTTAAACTATAGATTTAGCATGGCTATCGTATTGGAGATAAATTTGAATGTTTTCTTTTGTAAAAGGGAAAAGTTTTCACTAAATTTATTTTATTTATATAAACAAACAATTATTTAGACAAATAAGTTAAAATATTGAAAATGTTCTTAATTGTCTCCTTGTCGAAGGTAGTGTTTATTTTGTATTTTATTCTTTTGAATCTGTCGCTGTGTTTTTCGCTCACTTGCACTGTCATGTTTTATTGATTTTTTTATTTCGAAGGTCTCAAATCAATACCTCCTATGTCATGTCCATATTAAACATTATAGAGGAAGAACATTAAAGTGTCTTGGTTGCTTAATAAAGCCAATTATTTGATAAATAATGTTAACAAACATATATTTATTTTTTCCTAATATCCCATGTATTTACATTGTTAACCTTACACAATATGTATTAATAATAATAATACTTTCCCTAATTCACTCCCTTACGACTGACTTCACATGGTTTTCTGTAGGATTGTAGAATTGCTCGCAAATGAATGAGATGCGCCTTAGACACCTACCAGAAACTTGTGCTTGAAATCTTATATGTTTAAAATATTTCTAAAACAATTCTAAAATAATGTGTGCTCTATGGGATATTTTAAAGTTTTCCATAAACTGGTTCTTCCTATACAGTTTCAATTATTAATGGTATCACGAATTTTAAATTTCATTCCATCTGGAAGGTCCTCAGTTTTTTAAGTTCTGTTTTGTTACGTTCTGGTTTTTCAGTACCTTCTGAAGTGTTGACTCGCTGATACCTAGTACTTCCCTATATCTCTTTCGTGTACCTAAAACACTAAACTTGTATTGAAGGTCTACTATACTTTTTTTTGCAAGGAAATAATCAAAAACATTTTTAATAATTTTGACAAGTCTGACTTTTTCTTACTTTTCTGTAGAACTAGTCGAATTCAACATTGCCCTAAACTATAATGAACCTATAATTTTTCTGCTTTTTTTTAATTGGGTCATTCCTCTTAATTAAATATCTTTATAAATAAACTAAATGAATGGACTAAATTAATCTTGCTCTAGCTTTTAGTAAGAGTATGGTTTGTAAACAGGTTCATTTATTACACCAGTTGGTCTCGACTGTAAAGAGCAAAGCATCTCTTTAATAATTACAGTTTATTCCAAATTAAAATTTAATCTTTTGTATCCAAACAACCTTTTTATGATTTTCTTTTCGCTTATTTAAATCAAGTAGCCTTGTACTCGATAAATTGGATACTTTATTGGAAAGTCATATATTAGAAACGTCAGATAGTCCCTCCCACCTACTTCTATTAAGGCCCAACATAACCCTACAGTGAATATTTTAATGTTGCTGTTTTTGCTCTATTATATATATAGGATTACCTATCTCCTAATACTGTTCCCGTGTGGTGTAATTGGCATTTTTAGTATACGACTGCTACTTATTACGTTTAGATGTAGGAGTTATATTTGTTTGTTTTTTTCTTGAAAAACCGAATTTAATAAAGTTGTTTGGCCCTAATAGAGTTTAAAAATACCAATTTCTTTTGTTTTTGTTGCCTGAGAGCTTACAGATTACCTTTGTAATCCACGCGGGTTGTCACGTAAGAAAGTAAGGCGCGTGCACCGAAGGATTAAAATGTTCCAATATGTTTATTTTTAATTTTATATCGTCCCTGTGACATTTATGTTAAAAAAATAACTAGTACATAATTACATTTTACAACCGGGAAATCAAAACCACATACCAAAATCTTGATTGCCTGAAATCAAAATTCGCATGGTAAAAAATCTGTGATTTCGACATTCGTCGAGTGCTTTATCTTATTTTTGAAAATTAAACATTGGCCTATTATAATTCTCTAAGAATGTTAAATAATTAAAAGAAATAACTATAAATTAGTTTACGGTCCATACTAGGTTATCTTTATATTATTCATTTTAATGCTGTAAAAACCATTGTATTTATATAGATTTTAATATTAGTAGTGTGATATCAATTATTTTTTGTATACAACAAGGGCATGAATTGCAATTCATGTTTCACTACATATTAATTCGTGCAGGGTAATTTTTTCACCTTAAAAATGTATACCAGACTTTATAATACTTTAATAGAATTGCCCTATACATTAATTCGTTTATTTTTCAGTAGTGTGATAAATTACTGTAACTCGTGCTGAGAAAATTAATGTTTATGGGGAATACTATTACAAAGCATATATTGGAAAGTTAATGAATATATGATTTAACTAATCTTAAAAAAGATTATTAATAAATAATGAAATTTATTGTGTTTTTTTTTTTTTTCTTACCAAAATTGGGTATTGATAATTAAGGTGAAAAATGGTAAAAGTACATTTCATATTCTCACTCTAAGTTAACAGTAAAAATAAGAGAGACAGGAAGAGGAGGTGAATAAATGTAAGAGAGTATTTAAGTATTGTGTAGTCTTCTAATACGTGTCAACTAGTCTTATTGATCGTGTCTCTTTGACTTTATTTGTTTGGTGCTAGACTTATTTTTATTAGTAAAATGGAAAAATATTGTAGTCAAAAAGTGTAACGTGATAAATTTATAAAAATTCTGTACGTCCATGGTCCTGTAGATACAACCCCACAAATATCTGGTAAGCAGGTAGATATCATAAAACCTTTGGTAATCTTTCATTCGTGCAGACTAGTGTCCAGTGGCGGCTGGTGACCAAAATTTTTGGGGGTTCTCAATGACAATATAAATCGCAGTATAGATTTAGGTAAAACATTTTTAGTGTTTTAGAATAGTAATTACACACCGAGGTGGGAAGAGTTTCATTCCTGTCGTGAGATTAGTTAGATCACAGAGACGCGAAGCGTCGAGGTTAGCTATGATCTCGAGACAGGAATGAAACTTCCTACCGAGGTTTGTATGCTATTTTATTTACAACCATCATATTTGGATCAAAGTTAATAAATCTCTGTTTCGTTCTAAACATACCTAAAATATTACATTTAACGACAAATTACCAAGCGCGCGGTTTTCTCAGAATAATCAAGTAAATATATTGTTACTGTGATTACGGGATAAAGAACTGTCACCAATATAAATAAATGTCAGATAGAGCCGGATATTAAATTCGCGAATAATAAATATCATATCAATAAGTAGTTTGTTGTATTTTAGTTCATTGTTGTTTTTTATTGTTTGCCATTAAATAGGTATTATAAAATTTGTCAAAAAAATGTGTTATTTTTTTTAAATATAAAAAATATTCATCTAGAATAGATGAAATGAGGGCGGGAAGTCGAGGTGTGTAATGTGACACTTCCCAACCTTCAATGACGTTAGTAATGACAACATTACATATATGGTTGTAAATAAAGGTATATTATAAACGCTGAAAGTATTTTGCCTTAATCTTTACTGAGATCTATTCTGTCATTGTGAACCAAAATATTTTGGTTACAGCCGCCACTGCTAGTGTCGTTTGTGCTGCATTGTGCTATATGCGCTAACAGTTATATAGTTTTCTACTTTCTTGTGGGGAGTTTAATGTATGTTTATGGTTGTACATTATGTACATGTCTGTTCAATTTAGGATATTTATTTTTTTAATAGTTTTGGAAGCTTTTATAATACATCAAAAGTAGTATTCATCATGAAATATAATTACGCATTAATTTACCAACAACGTTAACTCTTAAATATAATTTAAAGGTACGATATTTTTGAGACATGTAGTGTCTCATGTTGTTGGTAATCTTAGGTCTAAGCAGTGGCGACTGTGAGGTAGTGCCACTGTGCCATGGCACTACCTTATTTTTGATGCAAAAATATATTTTTTATTTTTAAAACGTCTTATCATATTTTTATTTTATGCATTTCTTTTTATATTCAAAAATTATTTGAAATGTTGCTACCTCGCGCTGCATAAATCTCCAAGTTCTTTGCCGCGTACCGGAGCTATTTCTCAGCTGGCACTAGGGGAGAGAGAGAAAGAGATTTTACCAGCAGCTTATGTGAGCAACAGAAATGGGGACATTTTACATGTATTTAAACGGTAAAATCAAGGAATATTCGTGCCAGGCACAGCGCCGATAGCTGTTCAGATAATCGCGGTTTCTCGATAATGTCGATTGTTTACTGAACCGAATTTCTTTACGCGCTTTTTACAGTTTTTCGTTACGTTACGAAGTATTAGTGACGTTAATGTGTGTCTTTTTGTGTTCGATAAACTTGTTTAAATATCTTATTTCCTAGTTTTTATTTTTTTTTAACAATGAATAAAATTGGCGTCTTAAAAAACTCTTAGTGGTTTTTCCCTAGAAGAAAAACTACAAATTAAAGAATTAGGCCGGCCAATAACCGATTTAAAAATTGAAAAAGTGGAAGTAGGCAAAAATCGCGGTGTCGTTAATTTAATAAAACTATGATAAAAATAATTGGTTGTTTGGTTGCGAAGAAAATAATAAACTGTTTTGTTTGGAGGTGACGAGACTTGGTCAAAAAAAGGCACAGACGATCTTGTCCATATATGGGATAAAATGAAATCCCATGAAAAATCTAAAGTGCACGTGAATAATGTTTTTAGATTTTCCATGCTTGGTAAGTTAAATATAAAAACCCAGTTAAATTCGGCTTATGGTGATGCTCTAATTAAACATAATCAACAAGTGGATAAGAATCGATATGTTTTAAATCAAATTATAAATTGTATAAGGTTTTGTTGAGCTTTTGAGTTAGCTTTAAGGGGTCACGATGAGAAAGATAATTCGGAAAATAGAGGCATATTTAAGGAGCTGGTGAAATTTAGCGCCGAATTAGACAACGACTTAAAGGTACCTCAAAAACAACTCAAAATGAACTTCTTGAGTGCATGTTAGATGTTTATCACGAAGAAGTTAGGAAAGAAATAGAAAATTATTTTGTTGCAGTGATTGCCGATGAAACGACGGACGTTGTTTGTGAATTTCAATTAGTTATAGTTTTCAGATATTTGTGTAAAGGACGACAGTTGAGAGATTTTGGAGGTTTTACATGGTCGATGGACACGACGCCAAATCAATCGCTGAATGCATTTTAAATGTTTTACATCCATTATTAAAACATAGTCCAAATAAATTAATTGCTTAAAGCTATGACGGCGCGTCTGTAATGAGTGGTGGATTAAATGGTGTGCAAAAAATTGTTAAACATATCCTCTTGCAAATTACGTTCATTGCTATGCACACCATATGAATTTAGTTATGACAAGTGCATGTACTGTCAATAAGCAGGCTAGAATATTTTTTTCTAATTTATCTGGTTTGTGCTTTCTTTTCCACGCCTCCTCAAAGAACAAAAATTTTGGATGAGGTAGTTAATCGCAGGTTGCCAAGATCTTCGCAAACACGTTGGAATTTTCAATCGCGAGGTGTTCATACTGTTTATGAGAATAGAAAAGACCTCATTACAGTTGTGGACATTATAGAAAGTACTTCACGCGATTCGTCGTCTATTAATCAAGCAAGTGGGTACAAATTAAAACTTCAGGATAAAAATTTTATATTTTGGTTAACTATTTTTCATCAAATAATGCCTCACGTCACGTGGAAATTATTTTTAACCAATTACAAAAAGTATGCGCAGATTCTGTTAAGGTCAAAAAAGATTTGGAGAATTTCGAAGCAGCAATTCAAGGTATACGGGAGCAAATGGACAGCATTATTGACAATATTCAAGGAGAAATAAACTCGTCGCAAGGAGAAACTGGTGAACTAATAAGAAAAAAGGCACGAATTGAAGTGAACAGCAGAAAACGCGAAGCCTTAGAAATATGCGATGCCGTTTTATTGCAAATAAAAACAAGGTTCAACTTCTCTGGGTATTTGGTCGCTTCTAATTTATTTATGTCGGAGAAGTTTTCGGTCTATAGGCATCAGTTTCCCGAATCATTCCTCAATGAAACATGTATACAATTTTCATTTTTAGACAAAAATATGCTTAAAAATGAATTACAAGTAGGTACTGTATCAGAGAGACGAATTGAGTACCACCTCTGGAGCTGTCCCGCTGTCAATTTTATTAAATGAGGAAGGTTTAAATTGTACATTTTAGGAAACTCTTAAACTTTTAGGTATTTTGATAATACCCTTGTCAACATCTGCGCTGTTTTTCAATGCTTAAACGGATTAAAACATTCCTCAGAAATACAACAAAGGAAGAAAGACTTAGTGCTTTAGGTATGTTGTCCACAGAAAAACATTTTGTAAATGGAATTGAAAATTTTAATAATAAAGTAATTGAAAACTTTGCAACCAAAAAAGAAAGAAGAATGGCCTTCATTTATCGGAAACTTTAAAACTAGTATATCAAGCAACTTTGTGCGCGTGTGTAAATAGGTATAGTTTTATTTTTGTGATTTTTTTGGTATATGTTCCTAAAGACTCTTTATGGTAATAACAAACTGCAAGGAGTTTCAGCATTAATTACTGGGGGTAAGTTAATTTATAATTTTTAATTAATTTTACAGAGTTCTTTGATAAGTTTTGAGTAATTTATTGGCAAAGTTTAGGATAAGACTAACCCTGATGGCCTGTTTCGTGGCAAAACTTGTGTTATAAATAGTAGTCATATAATAGATATAAAAGTTACCGTCCTTCATTTATTTTTTTAATTAAAATTTTATATCTATTTTGACAATACCGTGATAAATTTTTGTCGTTTTTTAAACGACTTGGTTAAAAATCTGGGCGTGGAACCCCAAAAAAAATTTACGTACGTAATTGCTCTAGTTTTTCTAATGTTGAAACTTTAAAGTTGTACATTACATTTGTTAAAAGTAAATTGGAATATTGTAGTCTAATTTGGTCGCCTGTCTATCAGAATTCCATAAAAACTATAGAACGTGTTCAGAGAAAATTTCTGAAATAGTCAAAATTTAATAAAACATGGGGACTATTACAAACATGTTTTATTAAGTTTTGACTGCACCCGAAGATGGAAAAGTTTTCCGAAGCATATGTATAGTGCTGTGATAAAAGAAAATAAAAACGACCGAGTAAACCAAGGAACATTTTTATTTATATAAAATTCTGCTACGGTCAAGAAATTATTCTTATTTAAATAAATATATTTCAGAAATTTTCTCTGAACACGTTCTATAGTTTGTATAGGATTCTGATAGACAGGTGACCAAATTAGACTACAATATTCCAATTTACTTCTAACAAATGTGATGTACAACAATTTTAAAGACGAGAAAAGGAAACGACTTTACATTTGGAAATATTTTATTGTAAAGAATTGTTCAGACACCAACGGTTGAGGATATCCAAAGCGAGTTGCACATTGTAGACATCTTCAGGTTTCAACATTTTTCTATATAATTTTAATTCGTCAGCAAAGAAAAGATTAAACATTCCAAAATAAATGTAAGATCATTGATAAATATAAGGAACAATAGTGGTCCTAAGTTGGATCTTTGTGGTACACCTGAAGTGGCTACATATACTTATAATTTAAACCCACCATACTCTACAAATATAGCACGTCCAACTTAATAGTTCTGTAGCAGAGAAAGTGATAGTCCCATGCGCGCCAATTTTGTTATCAATAAAAAGTGATCAATTTGATAAAAAGCTTTTCTAAAATCTGTGTAAATCACATCTACTTGACTTACTGAGTCAGAAACTTCTGCAGTAAATTGAGTAAAGCAAGCTAAATTAGTAACTGTAGACTTTTGTCATGAAACCGTGCTGCTGTTTTTGACAGAAGCATATAACATACAAAATTAATTCAAAAAGTTTACTAAAATTACAAAGGATAGCTATAGGTATATAATTTAAAATACATAAGTCGAGTTACCATTTTTATATACCGGACAATGGACAAATGTTTGTGGTTTTTCATATTGCTGGGTATGAGTTAGATTTTAGAATTATATTAAAGATAACTGCCAATGGTTTAGACAGAACGTTTATGCAATTATTTCTGATTGAAACACGTAAAGCTCAAAGCCTGAAGCATATGTAGTAAATCTTTACTATCATATTAGGAATACATTTGTACAAAAATGTAAAAGATTTACTCGCCTTCGAGAAAATTGTGACGCCTTAGACTTGGAATCATTCGAGCGCTAGATTAATTAATTAATTTAATCAGCTTCAGGTAGTAATCTATAGATATATGATAGTATCACTTATATACAGTACTTAGCCTAGCAGGCAATGTTGTTCTTGGTTTTACAATCAGTTATGTGGTTGTACTGACATAAGCCCGAAATGTACGATTTAAAGTTGCTAAAATAATAACAAAATTACAAGATCAGCCGCCAAATTCTTCCCACGCCACTTATTTTGAAAAAGTTTCCAGCTCATCTCTAATTCAACAAGCTGAGCTCGCTCGTCACTTTCTGAGACGAGACAAAACCTTTCATTTTCAAGTAAGTGACACAACATCCCATGTCTTATTATTTCTAACGCTTTATTCAAGATTTTAAAATAATTAAAAACAAAATCTGCTTTTCGGATATCAACAATATCCGTCCGACATTTTTCAATTAATATGTTTAAAATAATTTCAAAATTAAAGCTGTACTCCTCGGATTTTAATAATATCCGTCCAGCATTTTCAATTTATATTTTTTTAACTCATTCAAAATAAAAGCTATGCTTCTCGGATTTCAACAATATCCGTCCAGCATTTTTCAATTTATATATATTTTTAAATCATTTAAAATAAAAGCTATGCTACTCGGATTTTAACAGTATCCGTCCAGCATTTTTTAATTTATATTTTTTTTAAATGATTTAAAATAAAAGCTATGCTCCTCGGATTTCAACAATATCCATCCAGCATTTTTCACTCTACTAGTCACGAAATGCTTACCACCTGCCATCACGTGGTTAAAAAAACAACTCATCTAGTAGAAAGAAAAAACCAAAAACAAAAGAATTACTTGCTAACACCGCCCATCCAGGACAGTACAACTTACCAATTTTTTCTGTGATTGTGAATCCTCAGATTCCTCGTACCATTCTCCAGACCACATTTATAAAACATAAATCTTGCACGATGCTAACAAATATACTATATTTAATGTTTCAAAAGATTTCTGTAAATTTGTGCTACGCAGACAAAAGTAAAAAGTTCAGAGACACTCCTCAGATATTTGGCTGACCTATACTTCTTTATTCACAAAAACTCCTTTTCAAATATTTAACTGACCTATACTTAACTTTTTTACTCACAAAAGCAAAAACTTTAAATGGAAGTTTAGAGGTACTCCTCAGATATTTAACCAACCTGTACTGTACTTAACTTTGTTACTAAATAAAAACAGTAGAGAAGTTCAGAGGTACTCCTCAGGGATTAACCTGACCTGTACTTGACTTTCTGGTAACATGAAAACAATATTAAGTTCAGAGGTATACTCCTCGGGGATTAACCTGACCTGTACTTAACTTTCCGAATGGTAGAATTTTAACAGTTAATCGTAATTTGGAAAGAGCGCTCGTCCATTCTGATAAATTTGGAACTTCAACAGTTAATAAATGAATTATTATTACAACATACCTTTTAACTTGCCCAGTAGCGCTTCTGCTATAATTTAATGACGTTTAATATTTATATTTACGAATATTTTAGGGTAAAGTGGATTTTTGTAATCGTAGAAATCCAAAAAATAAACTTCGCCCTTTATTTCAAATGTAAATTTATTTCTATTGTACAAATATACATGTGAACTTTTGATTTGAAATAATAAAGACGATATTATTATTATAAGGATTTTTTTATCGAAAAAATTTGTTCCACGGTTAATTAAAATACGTGCCGGCGTACCAAACATCGTTATATAATTCTCAGTTTTAGTCATTTCTGCTCTGGTTAACGTTTTTTTATGGGTATAGAATTGCATATTTCGTAAAAGCATTGACGATAAATAAAGCGTGTTTAAAACCATCTGAGGTTATTTTAAACTACGGATCAACACAATCAATACGAATTGTATGAACGGAATATTTATTTTTAAGCAAGTTTAGATATAATTTCCCAAACCTTTTCCAAACTTAAACAAATTTAACAATAAATGTTTTCACCTAGCACTACTCACTGGTCATGTCTTATGTTTTCAGTTTTATATAGATTTTTTGTTTGCTGCATAGTTGAAATTTATTATATTTAAGAATGTAATGGGGTTTGCTGACCAATAAATAAACGTTTGTATTAAATGTTTTCTACTAGGACAAACCATTTTCATAGAAAACTGATTAATACAAAATGCTACAGGAAAATTTGATTTGAATCTTTTTTATGTTCGCTTCTAATGATTCATGAATTGCAATCTCGAAGAAAAAAAAACCATTTTTATTGTATTAGCATTGCACTGAAACTTTGAACAATTATTTTTTTTTTTTATAAATTGCGATAGATAAAAATGATAAAAATTAAAATATAATAAAACACTAATTGATATTTATTTTTTATAACATTTCTGTACTGAATTACACAGGAAAATATAACATGCAAATTAAGATTTATTCTTACTGTACATACACAATTACAAAAAAATTCACTTATACATAATCATATAACTGTCTTTTTCAATGTTCTCCATTATACTTAACAACACTTCGATTTCATTACAACTATTTACCTTTCCTGGAGATCCTAGAAGAAAAGCTGGTTTGTTGTCAATAACTATGTGATATTTTTCATCATCTGAATTAAAACTAAGACTCCTTTCCAGCTCAGCTTTATTTGTGAATATTATTGCTGCAATCTTATTGTGTCTTATAATCACCTTTATTTTCCATAAGGGTGTTGGCAATTGCATGTTTTTGACATCGTTTACAAGCTGATGAAACTTATAGTTAAGTTTTCCCTCCGATGTGGGTTTATAGGGACATTGTTTTAAGAAGAACATTTGGCCATTTGCTTTTGATTTCAATTTCTTTATGAAATAATCATCTGGATCATATTTACTGACTTTTCCATTGTTTACAACCATTTTTCTTTTTGGAGACAATTTTTTGTTAAATAATTTTATTTTAAGAGGTTTGGAGTTCAACCGGTTCTTTTTAAAAGAATTTTGAATTAGAGGAATAGTCTTCTTGTCCGAGGTAGAGTTTTTTAATTTCTGTTTTCCTGGTTTTGGTTTACTTGAAGTCTTAACAGGTGATTTTTTCTTTTTTAGATCTGAAATTATATCAAAAATATATATCTATAAACTTTGTAGAGAACAGAAAAAAATGATTGTTATAAAAAAATCAAAAATGGGTTAAACTACAGCTCTGACACATTTAATATTATTTATATCTCATCTCATAAAATTATATACAACAAATAATACACAAAAAAGCCAATTAATAAAAAAATTAATCAGCAAAAATGTAAAATAATGATAATTTTTTATACCATTGATTTGTTTTGTTTTACTTATGTTGGACCATAACCTAAACAAAGCAAAATGAATTAAATGAAAATAGTAGGAGAGAATTGTCCCCAAAAAAAGATCTTTTAGTTCAAAGAAATGCATTTTAGATGGGGAGAGTTGGGCAAGAAATATTTAAAATGAAAATGTTAGGAGATTAAATTATATTTAATGAAGCCCTTGGTTTTTATTTGTGCCAGATTTGATAGTATCACACAGAGCCCTTCCTCCATCATAGTGTCCTCTAGTCTGTAGTCTGCATGAATATTTCTTCTTAATCCCATGAACCAGTTGGGTATCAACAGTAGTCAATGTCTAATTATTCAATAAATTTAAATTAATGATTTTATCAAAAAAAAATAATAGCTGTTCATCATACAGGAATTTATACATTAAGCTAAAGGCTAGAGCTACGGTAGGCAGAAGTTCAGCCACTAAAAATGATCTTGTAGTAAATTCAACAGATCTGCTTAATGTAGTGATTTAACAAATTGCTGGCAACAAATTTTAGGAACATAAGATTGTGCTGATGAAGCTAGGCAGCTCAACTCCTACCTAATATAGAGATACCCAAAAGGATAACAAAAAATGGTACCCAACTGACTAATTCGAAATGCAGTTCATCACATCCTTTTTTTTTTAAATTCACTTTATTAAGTTATCAAGTTTTATTGCAACTACAATTTTCTTCAGCTTCCACTAAATCTTCTAACTTGTATGTACTGTATGTAGTTATATGAAAATTACCTTTTAGATTTTCTCGTACTAAATGTAGCCTCAGTATTTTATTGTTAAGAGCAATTTCTCTGAGAGTTACTTTCTCAGCAGTAAACTTTCCTTTCTTCCTTGAAATTTGAACTTTGGTTGTTTGTGGAGTATTTAATTTTGCCAATTTGTTCTCAAAAGCAACTTTAGAGTTAAATTTGCCTTTTCTTCGAGCCTTTCTTAAGTGCATATCCTAAAAGTGTATCGAACTAGATAAAACGTACACAAATAACTGCAGTTTGTATTTACCGCAACATTGGACTGCCATAGAAAATTAAAATAAGCAAAAATGCGTTAAGCTTGAGCTCCAATAAAACAATTAAAAATTAAAACGATGAAGCTCAAACTCATAGAAAATGCCAATCCAAAAGCCAAACACCAAACAAATAACAATGTCTGTCAAAAGTCAAAATGAGGACGGTTGACATTTTGTTCTGTCATCTGTCACTAATGCCCCATTTACGTGTACCATAAGCTTATTTAGCAGAACCGTATTTGTACAATTTGTGTGATATTTGTAGTATTGGTGGTGAAAGAGCTTAAGCCACAGATTACCCACAACCAAGGTTCGTATACGGACCTAGACCACAACAGATGCAAAAGTTGACAGAGAATATCAAAATTAGTGCTGCGTTTGAGAATCCACATCGGATGCATCTGAGATGTAAAAAATCTGTGATCACGTGATTCAGTATACGTAAATGTAATGGGACAGATGTGTCCGATGTGGATAAAAAAACGCTCGAGATGTAAAAAATGCATCCGATGTAGATTCTCAAACGCGGCAAAAGAGAGATATAGATGGCCATACTATTTAAAGGGCCCTCGTTTCGTAGTAACTCATTTCCATTTGATCAGTTTCGGACGCAAAAGTTGTTTGATTATGCAAAGTTGCCGACGCTTTTAGGTTATGTGACTGAAAGTTGTACATACAAATACACGTTTTACATTAGGTGTACCACAAACGTTAGAAGCAAATGACGCATAATTAAAGCTGCTAAACATAAAATAATATAAAACAATTTTGAAGTATATAATTTATTAATATTAATACCAATCAATAAGGCCATAATGAACGCGTGAAATGTTTTTGGGTCCACTCTGCTTAGGAAGCTGTAAGTGAGGTGACATTCAGAACCGGCGCGACAGTGGCGCATTTTGCGTTGGGTACATTTTTGCATAAAAAGTTTGTGTCTAGTTTTCTTGTGTAGTTTCGGGAAATATTGCGACAACTCCACGACCCACAATGCATCGGAGTAGGGAACATGGCACGAGATTCAAAAAAGAATTGGAGGGGAAGCTTGACGTGTCGCAAAATATATCCCAAAAGTAAAACAAGGAATACAAAATATACGTTGTGGTATCGTCTACTGCGCTTATAAAGAATGCACAAATAAATTTTACGCCAATAATAAAATTATTTTTTTAGATTTCCAAAAGATATCAACATAAATTAAAACTGTAGAAATATGTTTACTATATTTACAGACTCACTTATTTACAATAATTGTTGTGTTGGTATATTTGTTACTGATATACATTGCTTTCATTTCAAAACAACCTGTCTAAATTCCTTTTCATTTCACGCAAATTTAGGAAAAATAAAAAACACGCCACCTACATTGGCAAGGGGGCGAATTGTTATATAAAATTAATACCCAGAAATGTAACCATCTGGAACCCGTCAGTAACCATCTATTTTTTTTAATGGCAAGTATGATCAAGTATCACATCATAAAAATCGCCATGCGTTATCGTTTTCTATGATTGTGGGTGAGGTTTTCCGGGTTTTCCTCACCTGTAAGTCAAATGGCGCCATCAAACATCTTTAAGTCGCCCCGAAGTGTCACGGCAAATAAAAAAATAATAATAATAATAATTACCGTTCCTTCCCCTACACAAGTCGATCAGTCGGCTTCAGGGGTTAAAATTCACTCGAAAGGGAGTGAATTAGGGAGAGTATTATTATTATTATTATTATTATTATTATTATTATTATTATTATTATTATTATTATTATTATTATTATTATTATTATTATTATTATTATTATTATTATTATTATTATTATTATTATTATTATTATTATTATTATTATTATTATTATTATTATTATTATTATTATTATTATTATTATTATTATTATTATTATTATTATTATTATTATTATTATTATTATTATTATTATTATTATTATTATTATTATTATTATTATTATTATTATTATTATTATTATTATTATTATTATTATTATTATTATTATTATTATTATTATTATTATTATTATTATTATTATTATTATTATTATTATTATTATTATTATTATTATTATTATTATTATTATTATTATTATTATTATTATTATTATTATTATTATTATTATTATTATTATTATTATTATTATTATTATTATTATTATTATTATTATTATTATTATTATTATTATTATTATTATTATTATTATTATTATTATTATTATTATTATTATTATTATTATTATTATTATTATTATTATTATTATTATTATTATTATTATTATTATTATTATTATTATTATTATTATTATTATTATTATTATTATTATTATTATTATTATTATTATTATTATTATTATTATTATTATTATTATTATTATTATTATTATTATTATTATTATTATTATTATTATTATTATTATTATTATTATTATTATTATTATTATTATTATTATTATTATTATTATTATTATTATTTGAAAGGTAATTTTATGGATAATTCAGCAATATCACTATTCATTCCATTACTTTTGATTTTAGTGCCCTCTAGCGGGATAAAAAACGTATTGTAAAGTGTGATACTTCATTTGAAAGCTGTATTAGGGATTTAATGGTAGCTTAAATTTATTATTTTAGTAAATTGAGATCGATATTTGCGTTTCTTAACGTTAGAGGTCTGCACGATTTTAAATTATTTAAGTTCATGTTTCATTAAATTATGTTTTGTTATATTGTGCATTAAATTACTAATAAAACTAGCTTTCAAATGAAGTGTAATACCTTCTACAGTTTTTATCCCGCTAGAGGGCGCTAAAATCAAAATTACCGCAATGGATAGTCATATTGCTGAATTCTCCTAAAAATTATCTCTAATAATGTGTTAATTGACCATACTTGCTATTTATTAAAAAAGGGGGTTGCTGCCGGACTCCAGTGAGATGGATTTATAGGTATGAATTTTATGACAATTCGTCTCCTCCTTGCTAATAAAAGGTGGTGTGTTTCTGTTTTTCTTAAATTTGCTTAAAATCAAAAGTGAGTTTAACTGGCTGGTTTTGAAATGAAAGCAGTGTATATGACACAAAACTTCATGAATTTATTTAAAAATGTAAAACCATTTTTATCGTAATAAAATTAAATAATTCATATCGTGAATTTCTTCATAAATATACTTTTTAAACCTTCTGAATTATTACATTATACTAGAACTTGTTATTATAACTGTTTTAACTGCAATACAATTTTGAAAATATTAATACAAATCGTATACTACTTCTTTTAAAAACCAAATTTTTTATTTTGTTTCATCAATGTTTTAAAATTACACTTTTCAAACATCACAAGTGCTATTACTTTATAATAAACCAATAATCACTTTCCAACTCTGGCATCCAAAACGCATGTTTAGAAGAAAGTAATATTTAGTAAGAATGATTGATAAATAATTAAAACTGGCAACACCTATGCCATATCCATTTATAGTTCAAGGTCATAGAAATCTCATTTCAAAATCCTATGATCTGTTGCCAGTTTTCGCATTTGGGCAATTTGTGGGTAAGCCACATATTTTTAGGAAAAACAACGATGAAAAACTACTAGACTAATCTACTTATTCATAATTAAGCCCTTATTTATTACAAGTATTCAGATTATTTTCTATGTCAGGAAGACATAGCTGTCACATCGGCTACCGCATTAGAAAGAGCGAGATGCCTGCTAAATTGAGTGGGGTTGATTTGTATCACCTTTGTTTATTTGAGGTGCGAGCACGCATTTTTGAATGAACCAGATTCCTGCTTTACATCGTTGCCACACTGTAAAAAATATTGTACTTTCCTGGAAATAACCTTCGACAACCAGGAAAAAACATTAAACACGCCAACATTAAGATAATATGATTTTGAAAGCCTTTGTGCGTTTTAGGGCCAATTCCATCGTTATGTTAAACGAAGTTAAAATTACTAAGCGAATATTAAAATGACATTGTTAATGTAAAAATGTAATTTTAAACCTGGTTTATTTCTTAACTACTAGCGGTGGAATTGGGCCTTAAATCCTTGTTAAGTCAATTCCGAATTATAAAAATCCTTTTACAAGACTCTCCCATAATAATTTTGTAACTAGGTCGTGGATAATACTGTGAATCCTTGTCATTCGATTTTTGTATACGAAATTGGTCTAGTAGTTGTTCATCATTGAGGCAAAATGAGTTTACTATGTCACATCAATAAAAAAAAAACTATGAAAATTTCAGTGGTGATAAGATTTAAGAGCTTTTTTAATTATATTTTGTAAAAAAATTTCTCAAAATTTAAATGAAACGTTTAACATAAAAGTTACAATTGTGATTTTTAAATTAACCAAAAAACAATTTTTTAAAAATACCGCGATTAACATGATTATAATATAACACATACAAGAAAAATAATTTCGAAATTACTTACGTCTTCAGATTGCTTTGACGGAAACTTACAAATTAAATGACCATAAATATGGTTGATTCGATTGAAGCGGTTTAATGGTAATGGGTCCGATACTGTATAAACGCTTTAGTCGTAGTCGCAATCAACATTCGGTAAGCGTTAAGGTTAAACATTTAAATGTTTCGGTTTAGCGGGGAAAGAGGGGAAATATTATGTTACGTTACGATACGATTTACGATTACCGATGATAAAACGGGACGGGAAGCAAAATGGAGGCAGCTAAACGCATCCGGGAAGATTCGAAATGATAACGTGATAAATAAACGTTCAAAAAAATAATTTATTATACTTAAAAATGGGTGTTATATAATTAAAATTTAGTTGAAACTAGTGCTTTCAAAAAAATGTTACAAAACTCTCCTTATGTGTATTCAAAGTTCAGTGTAATATTGGTGATTGCTTCTGTTTTGACATCTATACAAAGCTCAATACAAGGTACATGATGTTCTTTTATATCACTTTACTGCTGCTTTATTCTATAATTTTCCCAAAAAATTAGTAGGATTTGTATTCCCTTCAAATAAAACTTAATTTAACTCCAATTGTTTTAATAATAGGAATTGTTTTGATTAAAAATACCCGTTAAAACTACCCACTTGTTTTTTTTATGGTTGAAAAAGATTTTTGTGTTTTAAATCGCAACATTTAAATAGGCTCGCTGTAATGGTAATAAATTTATTTATGAACAAAAGGTCATTTACATTTGTTAAACTATAAATATCTTTGTAAGTTGATGCGTCAAATTGTCTAGGTAGTTATCAGTAGGTGTGGGACCAATCTCTTATCTCATTATCAGATGATTTTATTTATTGAGTAGGTACATATTCCTTATATATAATATTGACTTTTAAAATTATTAAATTGTTTCACAGCTTGATTTTGATTTATATTCATAAATTTAAATACCTAGATAATGGATATAGTATGAATAAAAATTAAGTACTTAGGTTACAAATAGCGCTTTCCAATGAATAAATTGTTTAGCTAGTATTGGGAAATATGAATATTATAAACTTCCGAGAATGATAAAAAGGGCTAGGAATTGTATGTACTCAAAAATAACCACTCATTGTTACCCATTTGTAAATAAAAGCAATTACTTAATGTGTATTCACACTACTTATTAAATAAACAAATATCTATTTATTATTTACCTTTTACAAATCCAGAAATGACTAATTTTAAAAGAATTTTAAAATCTTTTTTTCATAAAATAGAAATTTATAAAAAATAAATATAGGACTGGTCTGAGTGGATTGAAGGTACCAGTTCTTCTGTTGTTGGGACATTAGTAAGGATTATGACAAACTAAATGTTATGCAATATTTTTAATTTAAAAAACACCTTTCAGGGGGTGGGTGGCTCAGTGGTAGAGTATCTGCCTGTGGATCCAAGGGTCCCAGGTTCGAATCCCACCATTGGCCAGGATTCTTTTATTTAAATTTAATTCTGATGCCTTGGTAGGATTCCCCACTCGACCATTCACTGTTGGGTTGCTGTTCCTGAAATGGCGCTGGGAAACAGTAACAAAGCCTACACAGAACACACATGATTGAGAATTTAAACACAAACTTGAGACTGGCATATAAGGTATATACACCTAGGCCATAAATAAAAAAAAAGCACCTTTCCTTATCAAAAATAAAATTTATAATATACAGCATATGGTGCTCTGTAATAGTAGTTTGTGCAACAAGAGTGGATTACCAATCCACTAGAGTTGTACAGTATATTTTTGCTAAGGCCCACTAATGAAAATGTACAAATTTTAAAAAAATGTTCAGGTTATTAAGACAAAATAACTAATTTTAAAATAATTTAAAACCTTTACTAATTTATAAAATTAAATAAACTTGGAAAAAACAAGATTTAATTTAATTAGTCCCTATCCCAGATTTGAACCGTGGCCTCTTGCTTGGAAGTCAAATGCTCTGTTCTCACCTGCACTTTAGTTTTAATACTCATAATTAAATTAGTTTCATATAGTTCGCTTAAAATTTATTATTTATTTGTAAATGTGGATGAAATAAAAATAGAAATGCTATTATTTATCGATTCTTCGCAAGAATAACTCATTTTTACATATATTTAATCTCAATAACTAAAAAAATTACTAACAATTAGTTTGACCATGATTTACTTACAGCTAAATTAAAATATTATGGTTTTGAGAACATTGCTCTTTCATTCTCTAAAACAGCGGTTATCAAACTTTTTTGGCGACAGAACCATATTGAAGCAATTAAAAAACTTAAACCAAAAAAAGCAGCGGGACTAGACGGCATGCCTCTATATGTTCTGAAGGCCTGTAATGAGTGGTTAAAAAGACCTTTACTTCATATCTTCAACTTAAGTATTGCAACAAATGAATTTCCACACTTATGGAAAACTGCACTAGTTTCTTCTATATTTAAATCTGGAAATAAAATTGAAATCGAAAACTTTAGGCCCATATCACTTTTATCAGCCCCTGTTAAATTATATGAACATATACTGTAGGGTGAACCTTCCGGTTATTGACCATGTCCCAGTAAATGACCAATATTTACTGATTTATTAAGAATTTTTAATAACCTAAGGCAAATTATAAAGCAAATTAATCCTCACCTAATTCTCAATTTTTTTTATAAATTTGACAACCTTCTCATAATCGGCAGTTTACAAATGTCAGTTAAAAGTGCATGTGTTTTTGTTTCCTTCCCAAGTAACCACAAGTAATTAAGGTAAGTAGAGCTAAGTGTTTTTTATTTTGTAAAAAATATGTATTGGAGTTGTAAAACTGTTATGTTATTTGGACTAAACTGCATTAAACAAGATCAAATTTAGCATTTTTAGGCTGTAATACTAATATAACCTCAAAATGCATTTATTTTTTCAATGGTCAATAATAGATAATGCTAAAGCTGAGAAATTCAGTGAATGACCGAATGTGGTCATTTACTGGGTTGGTGGGAATTTTAAAATAATTTGTTTTGATAATGTACTTTAATCACTATATGGATGCTTCTTTTATGCAAACATTGTAAATAATGAGGGAATCGACTGGCCTATAGATGACCACTCTTATTATCTAAATGCTCTTCTGGTCATTCACTGGATATTTAGCCTAGTTAATGACTTTTTGCTGTTTATGTATTAAAATATTATTTGTGCAATAAAGCAATTGTGTAACATTTATTTTCAGATGACAGAAGCACCCAAAAGAGCATATATAAGGTTTAAGTATTCCATTGAAGATCTAAAAGCTGCAGTGACAGAGGTCCAAGAAGGAAGAATTAGTGCTACTAAAGCCAGTAAATAATTTAAAATTCCAAAAGGCACTTTAATTAATAAACTGCATGGAAAATCCGATGTTTCAGTAAGTAAGATGGGCCCACTAAGAATCTTGACTGCTCAGGAAGAAGATATGTTGGAGAATTGGATAATCCAAAAAGCAAAAACTGGGTGTCCTATGCATCCAGATGAAGTGAAAGATACCATACAAAAGGTAATGGAAAAAACCCAGCGTCCTAATCCATTTAACAACAACCGTCCCAGTGATAAATGGCTAATAGGATTTTTAAAAGTAAAGCCAGATATTGGGAAAAGAAATGCTGAAATTATTTCCAAAGCTAGAGAGCTAGCTTCACTGAGCAAGATATCAGAAAGTGGTTTCAGGATCTTAAAAGTTATTTAATAGAAGGAGATGCTGATCAGGTCTATAATGCTGATGAGACTGGGGTGCAATTATGCTCCAAAACAGGAAAGATGCTAGGGCCAAAACATTTTAGAAATTTTTATGATGTTGCTGTCGGAACAGAAAAAGAGTGCCTGACTGTATTAGCAAATTTTTCAGGCAGTGGAAAAGTAGCTCCAACACTTATAATATATCCATACAAAAGAATACCTAGAGACATTGCTAACTCTATCCCTGATAATTTTTATATTGGTCGAAGTGATACAGGTTGGATGGTTGGTCCTATATTTTTTGAGTATGTAGCGAATAATTTCTACCCATGGCTGTTAGATAATAACATAAAATTGCCTGTTCTCTTTCTGCTAGATGGACATAAGACATATCAGTCCTGAACTAGCCACTTTTTGTCGAGAAAAAAGAATTATTTTATATTGTCTATTACCAAATGCTACACACATATTACAGCCATGTGATGTTAATATCTTTAAACCTCTAAAAGTATCCTGGCGGAAGCAGTGTCAGAAATATAAACAAGAAAATCTCTAACCAAAGTATCTTTTGTACCTATTTTTGCACAAGCATTTAAAAATTCCAGTAAAATTGAAACCATACAAAACGCTTTCAGGGCATGTGGCATATTTCCATTTAATGCAAATAATGTTGATTTTTCAAAATGTATGAATACTCGTCAAGCAGCACTAAAAGAAGATAACAATAATGTAGAGAGTAATCAGAGTGGAATTGATAAAACGAAATTTTTAAAAATTCTTGAAAGTGAAATTTCCCCAGAGACCTTAAAAACATACAGAGAAGGGAGAAAAGCACAAAAAGTTTTAAATAATGATAAATTATTTAAATTTTGGAAAAAATATGCAGAAAATCAAGACAACCCCAATGAAGAAAATGTCGAGAATTATATTGCATTAGAAGACGAAAGAGAAAATATGAAAAATAATATTCTAATAATGATGGACACAGAAACTGATGATTATCAGGAATTCAGGAAGTTGAAGAAATTAGAAATGTAGATTATATAAATAAAGAAAATCATGAAAGTGATCCAGAGATTACCCAAAAAAATGAAAATATATGTGAACAAATTGAGGAAGAAATGGAACATGTAGAAAACCAAGACAATACTCAAAATAAAAGCATCCAAATTGAAAATCAAAATGAGGAAAATGATGAGTCAAAAGAAACACAATTGGATTTAAATTTTAGCTCAAAAAAATTTCTTAAAGTCCAAGATTCCTGGAAGAAACACTTACACTTTTCAAAGTTGGAAATGGCCACTAAAAAAGTGTTAAGGAAAGAGCCCCAAATATTGGAAAGAATATCATAAGAAGAAAGAAGAACAAAAAAGAATTGCTGAAGAATTAAAAGAGCAAAGAAAAAAGTTGGAGACAAAAAAAAAAAAAACGTAGACGTGAAGAATTAAACAAAAATAAAGAAAATAGACCAAAAAAGTTTAAGAGAAGAAAATCTTCTTCAAGTTCAAGTGATTCGAATATTTCAGATGAAGAATCTTTAGAGGAAAATGAGCAAGAAAACCAGGATGAAAATGAAATCAATGAATCTATGCCACCAACTACATTTACCATTGCTGATTTTGTGATTGTCAAATATGGGAACAGTTATTTTCCCGGTGTTGTTATACAAAAACAAGGAGAATTTGAAGTGCGAGTCATGTGTAAAAGTGCACAAAATTGGAAATGGCCAGAAAAAAATGACCAAATATGGTATAAAGAAGAGGATATCATTAAAAAGATTGAACCACCAATGCTGATATGTAGTCGAGGAAATGTGTATTCAGCTCCTGAAATGGAAAATTATGAAACACTGCCTTAATTTTTTTAAACTAAGTATTTATGTTTTCTTTTAGACAATAAAGTTTTGTAGTCATTTACTGGTATTTTATTTGGTCAATTACTTAAAGGAACTGGTAATTTACTATGATTTTATGCATTATATCTTAAAAATTATGGAATATTTTAAACAAATAAACATGTTTACATTTTTATGTTAAAAAAGTTAAATTTGTAAACAAATTCATCCAGCTATTCCTTGCTTCTTCTTTTAAAAACAAAACGAACATTTTTACAAATATGTATATATCACTGTTGCCTAAAGTGATAATTAACTGGATGGTTCACCCTATGCAAGATTATATCAACATGTTGAAGGCAGTCTGGTATCCCAGCAGCATGGTTTTGTCTCAAAAAAATGTGTCAGTACAAATTTGTTTAGTTTTGTACAGCTTATGAAGCACTTGAAAACAAAATCAAACTTGATGTAATATTCACAGACTTTAAAAAAGCATTTGATAAGGTAAATTATGATTTCCAGCTTTTAAAACTGAGTAAATTTAGTTTGACAAATAGTACTCTTACACTATTTAAGAGCTACCTAGAAAATAGATATTCAATTGTTAAGCATAATGGGAACACATCGGGAAAATTTATAGCATATGGTGGAGTGCCACAGGGCTCCAATTTGGGACCCCTCCTTTTTTTAATTTTTATCAATGATTTACCATCTATGCTGAAGTTTACAGACTGTCCTTCTATTTGCCAATGATCTGAAATTTTTTAAAAAAATACAGACTGTTAGGGATTGTGTGAGTTTACAAAAAGATTTAGACATCATAAATGAATGCATGGTGTTATAAAAATAAATTAAATTTCAATGCAAAAAAATGTAGCAGCATGACAATAAGTAGATTGAAAAATCCTGTTATTTTCAATTACCTTATAAATGGAGAATTAATAGAATGACTTTCAGAGGTAAAAGATTTAGGTATAACCTACGATTGTGTTCTATCTTTTTCTAATCATGTTCATAATTAGGCAAACTAGAAGTTTTACTAACATAGAATCTATAAAAATTATTTATTATCCTCTAGTTAGACAAAAACTTGAATTTGGAGCTGAGGTATGGATGGGGGAACATCCAACTAATCTATATGAGATTGAAAAACAAAATAAATTACTTAGATATCTTTATTTCAAAAAACTCCATATATACCCAGACTACAATATTTTTAAAACAGCAAACCATGTATGTTTAATATTCCTTTAGTTCTTACCACTGCCAGATCACCTCTTGTGACCATGCTCCAATTGGCAAATAATATTAACACTTGTATTAATGTAGACTGGACACTACCATTTAATATGTTCCGAAAACTTGTATTTAATTATTACATTACTCTTGATTAATTATTACATCACTCTTAATTAATTTTAATACTAAATAAGTTGTAATATTAGTTGTAATTACCTACTGTTTATTATTAATATTTATGTATTATGATACTTTTATCCATGTAATAAGGCCGTTGGCCTGTTTGGATACAAATAAATAAATAAATAAAAAAACCGAAATATTTGATGGAGACCTAAATTAATAAAATCTGATTTTTTAATCTTTATATTGGTTTAGCTAGGTTTTATTTTACTCTGCACCCTTGTAGTATTTCTTTAGTATTTTTTTTTTTATTATGACTAGTATTTTCGCGGAGCCCCTACAGAGGCTTTGCGGAGCCCTAGGGCTCCGAGGAGCACACTTTGAGAACCGCTGCTCTAAAACATATCTTTGAAAACTCACTTAACCCGTAACTATTGATAATATGTTCTCCGAATCTAGACTCATTGTCTCTGTTGTCCCACAGGGGTCCATTTTAGGTCCATTAATATTGCTATTGTACACGTCAGACTTGCTTAAAGTAGTAAGTGATAGCGAAATACAGTAAATATGTGGATGACACTCAAGTCATATATTATTTTGAACCAAATACATACCAAAGCTTGTTTCAATAAATAATGATTTAGATAAAATTCTAGACTTTTCCAAGAGTCATAACTTGTCTTATCAACTCTTCTAAAAGTGGAGTACCTTTGTTTTGCAGTTTTGTTTTTTAAATTGTGAGCATTGGAGGTGAATATTTGCAAATTATTTAATTGATAAACAATAATATCTGAAGTGAAATTTGTTTAATTTCTGTGCATTTTGCTACGTTATTAATTTTTATCAGTTTTGCTACATTATTCATTTTTATCAGTTTTGCAAAAAATTATCAATTTCACAAAAAGTGATGTCTGATATACCTTCCTCTGTTTGGATACAGTGGCGTACTAGTTTT